AGGGGCTGCCAGCCCCTCCCGAGCCCTTAAATGGTTAAGCTGAAGCAGCTGCAGCATCCCTGGCCTCCCCGGCCTTTTTAAATGCGTCTGCTTGTTGCTATTTCCCGGTGTAAATTAAATCGATCAGCTGCGCCCTGCCCACCCCCCCACTTTAAATTAAGTAGAGCTTTTAATCAAGTGATTTATGTTGAATTTGCAGCCCGGGATTAAACTCGCGGCCTGGGTGGGGGGGAGCGGGGCTGGGGGGCTCCATAAATCACTGTTCTCTCTGGGACTGGCTTGGCGAGGCACGGGGAGAGCTGGAGCTCATGTTTACATCATCCCAAACTGCTGCTCTCACCATCTCCTGCTCATTTCCTGGGGTTACCAGGAGGGCAATTAAATATGATAATAAGCAGAGTGGTTGCAGCAGCACTGCTGGTGCTCGCTGTGGGCTCGGGAAGGGGCACGTGCAGCCAGGTGTTCTCTGTGTCCCATGGGGATGTGGGGACACGGGCATGGATGGTCCCCGGGGTGCTGCACTGGCTGGCACCCAGCTGAAACCCTGGAGGCTGATGGGACAGGACTGCCTGGACGCTGGATCCCAGCAGGGAGAATCAGCTCCTCTTTGCTTTCCTGGTAAGGCATCCTCTCCATGTGGGCAATCCAGGAGAGGGACATACCCCAAAGCTGGCATCAGCACCCCGCAGGTCCCACTCAGGGCTGTGGAAGACCTGCAGGACCAAAGCCACCCCCAGCACTGCTGGGTCCCTGCCCAGTGGGTGCCTGCAGCCCTTCCAGCACTGCCAGGCACCAGGCTCTCCCCTTAGGAGGTGAGCGGGATGGGGTCCCTTGGGAAATGACCCCAAAGCAATGGGGGATCCAGAGGCACTGCCTGTGGGACCTGCCCCCCTCCCCTGAGTGGATGGGGGGTGTTGGGCACTGGTGGCTGCCGAGCACTTGGCCCATCCCCGTTTGGCTCTCGCAGCAGGTCCTTTGTCTCCTCCACTCCTCGCCTTCCTCTTTCTCTCCTTTTAAAGCCCTCAGGCTGTGCAGGACCGGGACAATCTCTTGGCCTCGGGCCAGGACGTGGCTTCCCTGCAGCGCTGAGCTGGGCCTTGTCCCGCTGCCAGCCATGGCAGGAACCTCCTGTGCCATCCCACCTTGGCGTGGGGTCCTGCAGCCCGGAGCAGGGCTCAGCGGGTGTGTGGGGAGTGCCCCCTCCTCCCACTCAACCTGGGGGCCATCGCTGCCCCAACCCCCTTGGCTGCCCTCCAGTCCCCCCGTCCCACCCAGCTGCGGGGTCAGCGGGACCCCCGGGTCGGGCTCCAGCCCCGGCCACCCACAGCTGAGCGGAGCCGGAGCCAGATGTGCGCAGCTGCGGCGGGGGCAGCGCGAGGGGCACGGGGCTCCCCCAAACCCTTGCTGTCGTGGGCCCTGCCCTGCACAGGACAGGCAGCAGGATGGGCAGCAGGACGGGCAGTGGGACATGTCCCCTGGGGACACCCTGGGGACGTTGCAGTCTGCACCCCGTCCCGCTCCACGCAGGGTTTGGTGCCGGGGCCGTTGTCCCACGTTACTTTAGGCCCGGATAAAGCTCCGTCTCCTTTGTTACACGTTTACAGCAGAGGCAGAAGTGCTGCAGGAATGCGGCGCTGGGATCCGGGAGCTGTAAATCCCAGCCTTTGTTGTGCTTGGGCTGTGCTAAATCACTGCTTTTCCCTCTGAATATTAATCTCTTCCAAAAGTGCTGACCGGGGCATCTTTCCCCAGCAGCTTTCTGGGGAAGAGGCTGACGCAAGGCCCGGGGCTGGCTCTGGCACAGGAGACGTTCCCAACCAGCATCCAGCAGAAATCCTCGACTTGCCGCTGCCCTGGCACTGGTGGGATGGCACTGACACAGTGCCACAAAACCTGGCTCTGGGCCGGGAGCAGGGATAGCACAGGGATGCCCCGGGGAAAGGACAAAGGGTGGAGGAGCCAGTTCTCCAGGCTGAGGGGAGACTGGAAGGTGTTTGGCACCAGCGTGGCTGGAAAAGCTCTTCTCACGCCAAAGCACACACAGCCTTGGATCTCTGCAGCGTTTCATTTGCCCAGCGCTGCAGAACAGAATCTCATGATTTATGGGGCTCCACGGGGGTCGTTTCCTCCCCGAGCTCGGGGGGTCATGGAGCAAAACTTCTGCCTCTCCCCTTTGTGTGCCTGCAGGGTCTGGGGGTCCCAACACACTGAGCAGAGCCAAGGCTTGGGCACAGCCCCCTGGAGAGCCCTGTGGTAGTAACGACCTGAGAGGGCCAGGGGGGCAGCTGGGGGGTGTAGGGGTTTTTGATCTGAAAAATGGGTTTGTTCAGGGGTGTGTTAAGTGGCCTGGGACTGCTTTGGGCTCATCTTGCTCCACCTGGCTCTCGTTCCCAGCTCCCCTGGGAGGCTTTGCCACAACCTGTGATCACTTCAGGCTGAACATGGAGCCAGGAGCTCGTCCACGGAGCTGGGGGTCACCACGGGGAATCCAAGGAAGAGCGAGCCCCAGCTTCCAGACCTTTTGCTTTTGGTGCAACTGAGGCTGTGAAAGGGCCTCGCCTCCTGCCCATGCCCAGGTGCTCGCCTGCTGGCGGCCGAGTTTCTCTGCGTCTGTTTTGAAGGCTTTTGGCTCTGGGTGCGTTCCCAGCAGCGCATCTCATCTCGGGGCTCTTCGAGCGAGCACCGGGCGCTGCTGCGACCTGCCGGCGCTCAGCGGCGCTGGCCGGGGGAGCTCCCCACGCCCGCCGGGACACGGGATGGGGTGGTCGGGGGGGCTGCCAGGCACAGCCCGGCCTCTGCTCCACAGCCCCCAGCTCGGCTGGGCTGGTGCGACTCGTGCACAGCCGAATTACCGCTCGCGGTCCCGGGAAAACGCCTCCCTTGGGAATGGTGATGGTGAGTATTGAACGGGGTCGGGGCAGTGTGGCAGGGCTGGAAAAGCATCGACAGTAATGGGATTGTGGCTTGTAGGAGCCGGTGTGGGGCTGGGATCGATCCCCTCAGGTGTGAGGTATCCGTGCTCCCGGTGCCCAGCACCCTCCACACCCCTCTTGGGGGAGGTTTCCAGCCCTGGCTCTGCATCAGGGACCCTTTGGTAAAGGGTACCCTTTGGTTGCTTCTCCTGGAACTACACCACTGGTTTGGCTTCTCCCTGTCACAGCAGTTTCAGGGACCCAAAGGTAACAGAGCTCCTGAGTGCACAGCTTGTCTGGGGGCATCTCAAGCCCCGCAGCAACAGCTTATCCAAGTTTATTTCCCTGCCTCTTCCCTTTTGCACTTCAAGAAATCCTGTCCCCAGTTACTCCCAGCTTACCTGAGCAGAGCCCAATGTTTCCCCTGCCTGTGACATCCCTGTGTGACACACAGTGAACTGGGCTGGCTCTGTGAGCAGTTCCTGTGCTTCAAACGGGGAGATTTCCCCTCGCACAGCCCCTCCTGCTCACCTTAACTCAGGCATTCCATCTCCCCAGTCACTTGCTTTAGCCATAACACAGAAACGACTTGTGTTTTTATTTCCACTCTCTCATCCCAGTGAAATCTTGCACTGAACAGCCCTGTGCCCAGCCCTGTGGGGTGAAATGCCTTTCTGGGCCCTGCAGATGCCAGGCCATGGTTCTGTCCAAACAACTCACAGATTATCAAGGAGATGAGGTTTCTGCTCAACAGACAAGTGGTACCAGCACCGTCCCCCCTGCACTAAGAGGCAGCAGTGACTCCACAGCAAGGGGGTTATTTTATTGAAATAACAATTGTTCCCATTTATTAAACACAGATCCAGCACCACGGACGGGCTGGATGAACAAGGAGGGGTTGCAGGTACAGAGCTAAGGACACAGAACACCTGACAGCTGGTTCTGCGTTACTGGAGGAGCCTGAAGTCACAGGTTTAAAGTGCTGTTCACACCTGGCCTTGGAGAACTGGCTTTTCCGAGTCGGGTTGTTCTAAAGGCTGTCTGACCTCTGGAAGAGACATTTCATTCTACTTAGCACCAAATCTAATTTTACAGTAAGTATAAATATTCATATTTAAAATCCATGTGAGTAATTTCCAAGCATTTACATAGGGCAGTAAAAAATCTAACAAATGCTAAAAACAGCTTTTCAGTATCCTCTGAGAGTCTGGCAAAACCTCAGTCCTTGCTGGAGCGCGTGAGGAGCCGGTTTGTAAAGTATGAGTCTGACAGCACTTGGTGTGTAGTTCTGAGCCTGGTAAGGGTTAACCAAGCCTTCAGGCTTGGGACATGTGTGCAGGTCCTGGGTTGCTCCCTCACATGACCCAGAGGGATCCTGAAAGTGCAAGTCTGCTTCTGTCACAGTGTGTGGCACCAGCACTGCTCTTGCTGGGGAATGCAAATGCTCACGGGTGGAGGCTGTTCCTGTCACTGCTCTGTTCCTGTCCAGCAAGGTCTGAAGTCTTTCTGAGCAGTTCAGCTCCACCACAGCACCGAGGAGTGCTGCTCCCTCCTTTCCTGTAGTTATCCTCCTCGGTACAAATGTGATGGTGAAATACAATGGCCACACATTGTATTCTGTGCTGGTCACTGGTTAGACCACCCTAACCAGGACCAAGAGCCTGAGCTGTGATGCTCAGGACAAGCTGCTGGCTCTGTGTGTGGGGGGGATGTTCCTGCAGAGGATTTCACACTGCAGAACAGGCTTTGCTGGCCCCCCAGCCCAGCTTGTTCTGTGCCCAGGCTGTTCTGACATGAAAAGCCGCCTCTGCTAAGGTTGGGAGCACAAACACCTGCTCAGGAACAGCACAGACAGCAGCACCGTTATCAACATATTTACACCATAAGTTAAAAGTGGCAGGGGGAAGGATCCAGTACAAAAGAGAAGCTGGGGCCATCCAGACAGCACTGGCCTAGTTGCTAATAAGCTTGGGACAAACAGAGAGGCCCCTGAGGGCTACTGATGCCTTGTTGTGTAGAGCAGCCTCCTGGGAAATCCCTGTTCCCTCTGCAGGAGGTGTGGAGATGGAAGCTGTTCCCTCCCAGTGCTGGCTCCGGGTTAGGCTCCGTTGGCACCGGCCTTGCTGCCCTGGGATGCTTCCATTTTGGTCTAGGGGCAAGAGAAAGGGACAGATTTTAGGCAGTGCAAATGTTTCTTGAACTGCAAAATCTTTTCTGCAGGTGTCTTCTCATTTACCATGGGAAGCTGCTCTGCAGAGTAACAGCTGATGAAGAGCAAAGTTCTTCAGGTTAAAGGAGATAAAAAAGTCCATCTGGACTCCCAAACCTGCCCTAAGCAGCATCCCAGATGTGCACATGAGCAGCTGAATTGAAATGAAATGTTCACAGAAAGAAAATGGGCAGAAGGAAGGTAATCACTGCAGAAATACTTTTACATAAGGATTCTGACAAGCTCACCTCTTGTGGGGGAGGCTTCACTGACGCTTCTGAGACTGGCAATTTCTCTGTTGGCTGAGACACAAATTCTTCACCCTTTAAGGAAAAAGCAGCTGTAAGTCACAGAACCCTCTTGGAAGGGGCTAGACCCTGTAGAGCCCTTTCTCCCTTCTGAGCAAGGCTGTTCCCTGCTCACTCTGTGAAAGCTGTGTTGGCATTCCCATTGTTTCCCCAGCACAATTTAACTATGTGGAACTATTTCTGGCAGTTGATACGATATTCTCTAATTCCTGCTTTTATCAGCTGGGACTAATCTAAGGAGCTCACTGCAGCCTGATGCTGAGAACCATATGCTCTGGCTTTCTTACTCTAGATATTTTGGCTCCTCTTGTCCTGGACAACTGAGCCCAAATTCAGTAGGAGAGTTAAAACAAGTCCCCTTTAACCATCTTCTCTGAGCTAAATGTACTTGGGTTGAGGTCTAAACCAAACTAGAAGCTCAAGAGTGCTCCTTGGCTGGAAGCCAGTACCATGGCACTGAGTAACCAGCTGTTCCCAGCAAGGGGACCAGTTGTGTCACAGGAGATCCCTTGTCTCCTAAGTCAGAACATGCAGCTGTGAGGTTCCTGGGGGAAAAACAAGACTGTGCTCTGTGCCATGGTGTCAAACACTGGTTTTGTCTAGCTTTGGAAAGGTTTGTTCACACTCAGATCCCAACAATTTCAGCACTACACACGTTTTCCAGCCTGCAGACTGCTATTTTCTAACCTTCCTTCCCTGTACAACAGGGGCAGGATCCAGGAGGGTCTCCTGGCCTTCAAGCACGGATGTCACCACTCCAGCAGCTTCACCTGTCTGGGGAAGAACACAGAGACCTAACTTCAGTCCACTTGTAGGATCAAAGAACAAGATTCCTGTCACAGTCCTTCATTTCTATAATGGGTAATGGTTGAGCTATTAACCAAACAACACACCTTGTTCTGGGAAACACACTGTGGCTTTATGTCCACTAAGTACAAGGCACGGGAAAGCAGGAGCAGAGAAGGGGGGACGTTCTCCTTTAAATGCAGATCCAGCCACTGTCAGAGGAAAACAGAAGGAAAAGTTATTTCATATTGCTCTGTGTGGGTACTTATTTATGCAGCACTCTTTGTGCTTTGTCAGGAAGCTGTGCCTGCTGCACCTGACCACTGCCTGGAATGTGCCCTCAGAGGAACCCTGTCCCACCAGCCCAGGCCAGGGCACACTCACCTGCCCGAGCTGCTCCCTCAGCTGCTCCTCGGAGACGCCCAGGGAGCGCATCCCC